GAAGCATGGTTAATTGGAGACAAGAGTCTCAAGGACTTTTCCTGCCAGGGCTGGCTTTGAACCATGATCCTGAGATCTCAGCCTCCTTACAGGCGTGAGCCACTGGCACTGGGCAAATTATAACTTTCTAGAAATGGAACTAGATTATTTGTTTAAATGCAATGTTTTTTTCTAAGCTGGCCACTCCTGAATATAATGACATTCAAAACATTCTAGAATAGTGACATTCTAGAAGAATATGTCACTGCTGGGCACCGATAGCTTACACCTGTAGTCCTAGCTACTCAGGAGGCTGAGATCTGAGGATCATGATTCAAAGCCAGCCTGGGCAGGAAAGCCTGCGAGACTCTTATCTCCAATTAACCATCAAAAAACCAGGAGTGGTGCTGTGGCTTAAGTGGTTGGGTGCGAGCCTGTATCTGAAGAGTGCAGGGACAGCATCCAAGCCCAGAGTTCAGGCCCCAAGACTGACAAATAAAATCCTGCTTTCTTTTCAGGATTAGATAGTAATTAATACTTCTAACTGATGGCAAACAATTTCCCCTTGTTATAATGATTATTTCTTACTAGCAAAGGGATGTTTTCCACATGCACATCTACCTTTTGTATTACTTATTCTCTGTATTGTTTATAACTTTCCAAAGGGCATGCATTTCTGAGGTATGTTTCCTTAATTGCCATATTAGTTATTAAAGATAATGGAAAATTAACAGAATCAGGATGACCAGGCTACCTAAAATTCAGCCAGTGCAAACAGGTCTGAAAGATTATGAGATAATAAATTCTAATTTAAAATTCACATCTCCTGACTAGATAGATACATCTACTCAATAATCACAAAAGAGACTTGTGAAATTTAGGCTCACAGTCATCAAAAAGTTGTTCTCTTTCCCGGTGCTGGTGGCTCATGCCTGTAATCCTAGCTACTCAGGGAGCTGAAATCTGAGGATTGTGAGCCAGAAAACTCCATAAGACTCTCATCTCTAACTGGACTGAAAACACACACACACACACACACACACACAACAAAAACCTGTTTTCTTTAAAAAAAAAAATCAAAGGAGGAGGCTGCAATGCTTGGTAAGAAATGTACCCATTATCCTGCCCATGTAATTGTAACCCCTCTGTACAGTATGTTCACAAATAAAATTAAATTAAAAAATAAAAAAAAATCAGGATAAGGATTCCAGTAATTGGATTGAGATAGCAAAACCCTTTTGTGATTGAGTAGACAAGCAAAAAAAAAAAAAAAAGCCAAAAGCTCAGAAGGGGTAAGCCACACTTCTTCAAGCTGGAATCAAACCAACAACCAAGGGATGATTATAGCTCCCTGCAGTTCTCTGCCCTGCCCACTAAACTACCGGAGGAACGGAATGAAAGGGGCTGTGTAGACTCCCAGGAATCCCGTAAACCCTGGCGGAAGGCGAGCTCTAGGCTCAGGATCGGAAGTTTCTAGGAGACCCGACCCATCTATGAAATACGCAGAAGCTGAGATGTCTGGCAGAGGAATGGCAGGCTGAAGCTGGGAAAGCAATACGGAACGGCGGGGCCAAGGACAAAGCGGCCGCAGCCGGAGGCAGGGAGTGCGCGGGGCTTGAGAGACTCGTTCCTAAACCCGGAACGAGGGCCCCTCGGCCCGGCGGGTGGGGCAGCGCCCTCCGCTCGCTGGGGGACGCAGGCGCCCCTTTTGGAGGGATCGATCCCCGGGCTTCCCACCCTGAGCTTTTCCCTTCCCAGTCTCCAGGATCTGATTTTCGTTTAAAGATCATAAAGTGCTTGTTTTCGCCGCCCAAAAACAAAAAAAATTTTTTTTTAACTAAAACACTCCTTTTTTTGAGAAAGGGATCAGAAGTCCCAGTAGGATATGAACTCACAAACTTCAACTAGTAAGGCCAAGACTCTTAACACCTATGCTACAAGGCCACTACCTACATGGTTTTTCTGCATTGGTATCCTCTAACCTGAGGTGACCGCAGATTGTTTTAGCCCTGATCCTTTAAACTCAAACTACTCAAACACATGCAGAGTAAACAACACACTGTTGCATAACAGCTGGGTCATGAAGAAATAAAAGGCGGAATCGGAAAGTTCCTGCAATCCAATGAAAATGAAAACATCATACCAGAATCTCTAGGATACAGTAAAAACAACGTTGAGAGGAAAGTTAATAGCTCTAACTGCTTACATAAAGAGAACAGAAATCACTCAAGTAAGTAACCTCATGATGCAACTAAAGCCTCTAGAAAAACAGGAACAAACCAACCCCCAAACTACCAGACACAGAGATAGTAAAGATCAGAGTAGAAATCAGTGAATTAGAGACTAAATAAAATTTTACATCGAATCAACAAACAAAAAGCCGGTTCTTTGAAAAAGTTAATGACAAACCCACCAGGCACTAGTGGCTCATGTCAGTGATCATAGCTACTTGAGAAGCTGAAATCTGAGGATTGAGCTTTAGAGCCAGCCTGAGCAAGAAAGTCTGTGGCTTTTTTTGCTTTCTTTTTAATTTTTATTGTAAAGGTGATGTACAGAGGAGTTGCAGTTATGTAAGTCAATAAATGAGTATATTTCTTGTTTTTTGTTGTTTTGGGGTTTATTTGTAGATCATGGAGCACTTTACCACTTGAGTACAGCACCACTTCCAGTTTTCTGGTGTTAATTGGAAGTAAGAGTTTCAAGGACCCTGATCCTCAGATCTCAGCCTCCTGATTTAGGGAAGTGTAACTCCTTTGTACAACTACTCACTAATTATAGTAATAGTAGTAGTAGCAGTAGTAAAAATAACTTTCTAGGAGCTGGACTGTGAAGTCAAGGACTTAAAAGAAGACACTTGTCTTGCTCAGATGTTTTATGATATCTCCTCTGTTATTTAGTGAGTTTTCATTTTCTTTTATGGATAAGAGTGTGCTTCTTGGTGTGGGTATGACATTCCAACTCCTTAGGATCGTGTGTGTGTGTGTGTGTGTGTGTGTGTGTGGTGTGTGTGCGCGCGCGCATGCATGCACGTGCGCTGAGGTTTGAACTCAGGAACTTGTGCTATCCCTAAGCTTTTGTGCTCAAGGCTAGCTCTCTATCATTTGAGCCACAGCTGCACTTCTGGCCTTTTTTGGTGGCCAATTGGAGATATGAGTTTTGTGGACTTTTCTGCCTAGGCTGGCTTTGAACTTCAGTGCTCAGATCTCAGTCTCTTGAGTAGTTAGGATTACAAGCATGTACCACCTGGCTTCCTTAAGATCTTTATGACCAGCACAGATGAAAGTTGTGCCATCATACCATCTGTGATGATGGTAAAGGGCAGAAATGCTTACTGAGCTCTATTATTAAGATGGAAAAGCACTAGGCATCAGGCACCAGTGGCTCATGCCTATAATCCAAGCCACTTAGGAAGCTGAGATCTGAGAATCTCAGTTTTGGCAGAAAAGTCCATGAGACTCTTATCTCTAATTAACCACCAGGATGCTAGAAGTATATCTGTGGCTCAAGTAGTAGAATGCTGGCCTTAAGCATAAAAGCTAAGAGACAGGGCCCACACCACAAATTCAAGCCCCAGTACTGGTGAGAGAGAGAGAGAGAGAGAGAGAGAGAGAGAGAGAGCACAAGCATAGAAATAAGAGAAAATCAAAGTGTCCTCCCAGGGAAGTAGAACAAAACTATTCCAAGAACCTATGGTTTCAAATTTGTCTGTTCATTTTTATTCCTTTATATTATAATGACATTTTTTAAACATTCTGACTTTTGAAAACAATTAGAAGGCATTAAGACATACTGAAACTCTTTGCAATTTTATTTTATTTTGGTGGCAAAAGGTTTGAACTTTGGGTCTTGCACTTGCTAAGCAAGTACTTTCTCCCTTAAGCCATGCACATAGCCCCACTTAGTAATTTTAAATTTCAATATGTGCAGATATCTTTAAATATTTGACTAGTGGCATGATTCTTCTTTCCAGGGACAGTACCAGCACCCAGGCACTGAACTCCAATAAGGACACAAATACAAAAATAGTGTGTATTATTATTAATAAAGACCCTGTGATCTTTATCTGAAAAAGTGCAGAACTAAAGTTCATTAATAGTTCCAGATCTCAGGCCTTTGGTGATGTTTATAATAATGATGAAAAGTGACAATGGAGAAGTTTGCACGTAAGGCCAGACATCATTAAGTTCTTCAAAGTGTGTGTAAGTGTGTGTGTGTGTGTGTGTGTGTGTGTGTGCATGCGCCAGTACTGTGGGGCTTGAACTCAAGATTTTGGGCATTGTCCCTTTGCTTTTTTGCTCAAGGCTGGCATTCTACCATATGAGCCACAACTCCACTCTGGTATATTGGAGATGAGTCCCTTCGATTTGTTTTCCTAGGCTGGCCTCAAACTGCAATTCTTGGATCCTAGCCTTCTGAGTAAGTGGAATTACAGGCATGAGCCATTGACACCTGGCAAGTTACTTAACTTTCACCTTACAGTTTTCTTATGTGTACAATCAGCAAGCAAAATATTCCCTAAAACCTCTGCTACTACCTTCCTGAACATGTCCTTCAAAGCTTCCTTTACTTGTTCATTACGCAAGGCATAGATTAATGGATTCAGCAGTGGTGTCACAAACGTTGTTACTACTGTCACTGCCCAGTTAGTATCCACAAAGCTGCTCTGTGATGGCCGCACATACAGAAAAGTGGCACTTCCATAGAAGAGGGTGACCACCATCAAGTGTGAAGTACAGGTGGAGAAGGCCTTTTGACGGCCTGATGTGGAGGGGATATGCAGGACAGCCAGGATTATATGAACATAGGAGGTAGCAGTGATCATCAGTGAAGAGATAATGACAAGTGAGGCTAGGATGAAGTCAGTCTCTTCTAGTATCCTGGTATTGGTGCAGGCCAGGTGGAGCAGTGGGCCACTGTCACAGAAAAAGTGCTGTACCACAGCACTCTGTTTGCAGAAAGGAAGTAAGGCCACTGCCACTGTGGGGCCAAGTACAGGGAGGACTCCCCCCATCCAGCAGGCCAAGGCCAGACGAATGCACACAGCTCTGCTCATGAGCAAAGGGTAGCGCAGAGGGTGGCAGATGGCCAGGTAGCGATCTACAGACATGACTGCCAACAGTAGGAATTCAGAGGCCCCAAGAAAGAAGTAGAAATAAAATTGAGTAATGCATGCAGCAAAGGAAATTGTGTGTTTCCTCCAGAGGAAATTGCTCAGCATCTTAGGAACGATGACAGAAGTGATGAGAATCTCTAGACAAGACAGATTACCCAAAAAGAAGTACATGGGGGTCTGTAGGCGATTGTTAGCTCCAACCACCCCCACGATCAACGTATTACCCGTCAGAGTCAGCAGATAGACAAGAAGAAACATGGAAAACAGTTCTACTTGTGTGCCATTGAGATTTGGGAAGCCTGCCAAGACAAACTCTGTCATCCTACCACTCTGGTTCCCACTGGGAGTCATTCTTGTTTTCACCTGTGACATCATATGAGAACCATCTTGGTAAGAGTAGAGCCTCTTTGGTCCGGAAAGTCATCTAACCATGGAATGGCACACATATTTCCATTTGCTTCAGTCATAAGTCCTATAAATATCTGAAGCACCAAAGGTCATCATCAGATTATACAGCTAGAGAACATTTTTATAAAGGGTGGCTAAAGCATAGCCAATAAAATACCTTCATTTTCACCTTTCTTATGGTCAGATCTGAAATGATAATAGCTCATTGTTATAACAATGTCACTAAACATTTCAGTTGGGTGAAAAATTCAGAAAACAATGATTTTGTGAAAAATATGATTCTCATTCAACCAGGATGAGAACTTGCCCAGACTACCTAGTTTTTAGTGTGTGTGTGTGTGTGTGTGTGTGTGTGTGTGTGTGTGTGTGAGTATGCGTGCATGCTTGCGTGCATGTGTGCTTCTGCCACTACGGGGGCTTGAACTCCAGGGCTCTATCCCTTACTTTTTACTCAAGGTTGGTACTCTAGCACTTGAGTCACTTCTGGCTTTTTGATAGTTCATTGGAGATAAGAGTTTCACAGACTTTTCTGCCCTGGCTGGCTTTGACCCTTGATCCTCAGATCTCAGCCTCTTGAGTAGCTATGACTATAGCATGAGCCACTGGTGTGTGGCTAAGAATTGATTTTAAAATTGTTGGTTCTTTGTCAATAATATTGTTTTATAGCATATCCAGCAATTTTCATTCCCAAAACATGAGGCTGTTAACTTACAAATTCTTACCTGTGGGTCCATCCATCTAGGATGGAGTGGTCCTATTATCAGTCTTCCTAATGATTCTTCCAGTGCCTCTTCTCCAATATCTGTGGAAAGTATTTTCTTATCAGGAAAGTTATTCAGCATTTATTCTACGTTTATTATGTCCCAAATCTGTGCTTGGTGACTCAGAGACTAAGGAATCATTACTGCTCTGTTTGTGTAGCTCACTGCCTAGTGAGCTGTCAGAAGTTAAGCTGTTGGCAGGTATGTCCAGAGAACTAGGGGGTGAAAACAAAGGAAACAAATAAGAGACTTAGACAGGTAGTGCTCTGGAGAAAGTGATATCTAAAGTCAATCCTCTAAAACTGGTATGGGTTTGATAGACAAGAAGGAGGATTTTCAATGGGAAGAAAAGCAATATAAGTAGTATATACTTGGGCTAAAGAACACTGTATAAAAGATGTATAAAGGGAATGTAATGAAACAGGTACTAGTAATCACAAAGGAAATCCATTCTGGCCCTCCATTGCTCCATTGAATTGAACCTAAACTATATCTTAAGTGAATGAAAGATGAGTCCCTGCTTTAAAAGCATGACATGATAGCTCATGCCTGAATCCCAGCTACTTCAAAGGCAGGTAACAGAAGATCATGATTTGAGGCCAGCCTAGGCAAAAAAAAAAAAAAAAAAATTAGTGAGAACCTATCTCAACAAACAACCTAGGTGTGGCAATATATTCTGGTAATCTTAGCTACATAGGAGGATTAAAGTCCAAGGCCAGCCTCCAGGTAAAAACACAATAGCCTATTGAAAAATGACTAAAGCAAAAGCTGGTTTGTGACTGTGTCCAAACCCACTTACCCCAAACAATGAGCCCCAACTCTATGCCCTTGATGTTTCCACAGTGTGTATGTGGGTGTGTGTGGGTGTGCGCGCACAGGCACATGCACATGTGGTCATTCTGAAGGAATTTTCTTTCCTGGTTTCTCTCCATCCATCTTTGAAGTCCTGCCCATACCTTTCACTGTGAGGCTGACAAGAGTTGGGGTCACTGATGTTCAGGAGGTTGGCACACTTGGGAAAACAGAAGTTGGGCAATCTGCTTCTTCTCCTGAGCTTCCTTCCCTGGTCCATTTCTTCAGATAGTGATCCTCTGCCTCAGGAACAAAGGGGCTTTTTTGATCTGTCATGATGTTCCTTCTTGTGGTCATGAGAAAGTCAAATATCAGAGTCTACCTCCCTTCACCCTGCCCAGAATAAATCATGTCCACATTGTGATCCTATCTTTGGAGACATGGTTCAAGTGAAAGACAATGCTTCCCAGTGCTCTAAAATAGGTCACCACAAGACCAACCTGTGCTGGAAGACAGAAGATGGGAGTGCTCTACCACTGACCAAGCTATTACCACACTTACCCTTTGCTCCAATTATTTCTAGTGGTTGAAAAATGTTTTCTTTTAGCAAGGCAGCAATGTCTCACACCTGTAATCCTAGCTACTCAGGAGGCTGAAATCTGAGGATTGAGGTTTTAAACCAGCTGGGGCAGGAAATCTGGAAGGCTTTTTATCTCCAATTAACCACCAAAAAATCTGGAAGTGGAGTTATAGCTCAAGCTAGAATGCTAGTCTTGAGGGAAAAAGTTAAGGGCAGAGTCCAATCACTGAGTTTAAGCCCCAGTATCAGTACACACACACACACACACACACACACACACACACACACACACACACACACTAACGTTCTCTTTGAAGCCATGTCTTCACTTTTTTTCACAGGTGGACTTCAAGTACAAGCTATCAGTTTTCTATTTTTTGGCTCCATCTTTTCTGGCCGTTGGTTTTTACTGAGCCCCAGTGCAGGTCAGATTGGTGTTGATTTCTAGTCAATCTCTATTGAAAAGCAGGGTCCTTCATATAGAACATGGGTTTTCAAGTTCTCCAAGTTTTTGGAGATGCCCCCCAAATAAGCTCTAATGCAGGTATCAGGAGCCTATCTAGAAGCAGTGCTATCTAGAGAAAGGTTACCAGAGAGAAAGGGAGAAAACAAATTTCTAAGAGAACCCGGAGAGACTGCCAATTCAAAGACAATTTCCCAGACTCTGCCTGGTAAGTCTGAAAAGGCTTCCTTTCATCCAGCCGAGGCTGGCTGGGAATATGTCAAGCCAGGCAACAGCAAGGGGATTATTGACAAAGGAAAGAGGGAAAACATGGAGTCTGACCAACCATAGAACTGTGACTTTCATCCACCTTTCCTCTTGCATGACACTCAGGGGAAAGGTCTATGTCCCAAGGAACATAGACATTGTCTCTTCTCCCTGCAGATTTAAAGTGATATTGGGACTCCTTCCCCTGGGTTCTAGGGTAGGAAATGATGGAGTCTCAAGGGTATGTAGTAATAGGGAAGATAGTGGGTAATGATGGTATCGCCTACTGATGATATACATGGTTCTACATGCACAAAACATTTGAGTTCTGGATCCTGTTTTCCATCTGTGTCCACTGTGTGCTACTGAATAAAGACTGCATCCTATTCATGTCCAAGACTCAGTTTTCTCAGTTCTTTTCCCTTTCTTTCCTTTTTTAATTTTTTTTGATTTCTGTGTGAATACTGGGACTTGAAATCAGGGCCTGGGCACTGTTCCTTAGCTTTTCTAAGTGAAGGCTAGAGCTCTACCACTTGAGCCCCAGTACCACTTCCCAGTTTTTGGTGGTCAATTGGAGATAAGAGTCTCATGGTCTTTCTTGCCTGGGCTGACTTCAAACCAAGATCTCCTCAGATCTCATCCTTCTGAACAGCTAGGACTATAGGTGTGAGCCACTGGCATCTGGCACAGTTTTCTCAGTCCTGAGAAGGTTCTTCTACCCATTCCTCTCCTTTCTACTTTTCAAACAATTTCCAACAAGAACCATGACATCCTGATGATCTTCCTCCAATCTGCTGTTTAATGCACTGTATGCAGTAGAACTCTGCTTTGTTTTCATCTGTGTCCTCTGCTTGTTTCCAAATTCCTAGAATATGCTTATGTTTACATCTCTGCTTTCTTACCACCATCACAGAACCTGGCATAGACTAGATGCTCAGAAAATGGCAGATTAACCAAACTTCTCTGAATCCCAGACTTAAGGAGCAGCAGCTGCTCTTCTGTGATGAACACTGAGTTCAAGCCCCAGGACTGGCCAAAACAAACAAACAAACTCATCTAAGCTAATACTGGAAAGTCTTGTTTGTTGGTCTGAAGGAAGACGAGTTCTAGAAAATAGGCCCTCCATGTCTGAGAGCTAATAAACACTGAGCTACATGTATTTTTAAACTTTAATTGAACTATTACTATAACTAAGATACTTCAGGAAAAGATGAGAAAAAGGTTGATAACTTTTTTCCTTTTTTTTGCTGCTGGTCTTGGAACTTCAACTCAGGGCCTGGATGCTGTCGCTTAGCTTTTTGGCTCAAGCTTGGTACTCAACCACTTTAACCACACCTCTGCTTCCAATGTTTTAGTGGTTAATTGTAGATTCCCACAGATGGAAAGTTTCCTGCCTGGGCTGGCTTTGAACCATGATCCTCAGATCTCAGCCTCCTGAGTAGCTAGAATTACAAATTTGAGACACCAACGCCTGGCTAAGGTTTGGTAACTTTTAAAACTTTCAGAGTTATTTATCGAAGTGACAGTGACTTGAGTATTCATCTATTACCACTTTCAAACCTACTTTACCAGGATATTTTCCCAGTGTTTGTATGACAGAATATAGCACATCAGAAAAAAATATTTATATTTATCATTTTATAATTCTTAAGCTATACACTATACTTTAGCTTTTATTTTTAAAGTATACTCAAATAAGTTAAAAAAATAAAGCTTTAACAATATATATAGATTAATGGGCTAGAGATGTAGCTCAATGGTAAACTACTTACCATGTAGGAAGCCCTGGGTTTGATCCCTGGCATCACAATAAAGAAAATAAATCTTATTCTCCCACTTTAGAATAGTGTCTTCTCTAAAAAAAAAAAAACTTTCATTATTTTAGTCTGCATTAGTACAGTGGTTTTTGTATATACACAAATAGCAGGGGCTGGGAAGGTGGCTCAGTGGTAGAGCACTTGCCTTGCATGCCTGAGGCCCTGGGTTCGATTCCTCAGCACCACATAAGCAAAAAGAAAAAAGCTGGAAGTGGCGCTGTGGCTCAAGTGGTAGAGCACTAGCCTTGAGCTGAAGAGCTGAGGGACAGCGCCCAGGCCTAGAG